TGCACTTTCTCTTTTGACCAAATTATACTGTTAACTTTGACAGTCACTTATAATTTTATTAATTTTGACCGTCTCTTATAATTTCATTTGATGGTATTTTAAACAGATTCTCTTATTAATGATATTATCTTAATTATTTTCTTTACTCAAAATATTTTAATTTAAAGAAAAACTCTCGAGAAGCGTGATGAGGGAGAGCCCCTAGTAGCGTTACTCTAAAGCAAACTTTCTAACTTTTAATAGGCTTATCTGAAAAGTGATCAATAGCTTTTATGTTATTTTATTCTTATTTTTTCTGCTGAAAAATGTATTATGCTAAACCATGAATACTAGTACAAATAAAAATAACAATAAAAATTAAAAATTAAAGGAAAATAAGAATATGGTATCCTTTTCGATAAATTACACTCCATAAAAATATTAGGAAGTCTTTTTTGATATTGGTCTGTCTTAGTGTCTCCCATCTTATATTTTGTTTAGTATGTTTATATGTTAATTGTCATTACTCTCGTTAGTTGTTATATATTTAGATTTAGATCTATTAGGTTGCTATATAATTTAGGCAAAAGTGAGGAAAAAAAAACCCTAAACTATCAAGAAAGTTAAAAATAACTTACTGGACAATCAAGGAAGGCAGATGCCTCGATACCCCAGTGGGTTAGTACTTACGGTGGATTTTGGAATGCAAGATTTCAACTCTCTACATTTAATAATCTAACTTTTAACACTTCTTGTCTTGAAAAAATAAAATGATAAAAATAATCAAGCGAGTAAAAAGTAACCCTTAAACTATTTCGGGTTGCAAATCAAACCATCAACTATACAAAATAAGCCCCTCCCGATCACCGACCCACATTTTTCGATACTCATAGGGTTAAAATTACCAAAATACCCCTACTTATTAATTTTTAAAATATCATAACTATACAATACCTATATATAATACTCTTCAGGGACCATCTTGCAACTAACCAATAGCTCAGAAAGTTTTTTTTTTTTTTTTTTTTTTTTTTTTGTAATTTTGCCTAATAATAATAAACAATATCAATAATAATAATAATATTATTATTAATGTTAATAATAACTAATAATATTAGTAGTAGTAATAGTAGTAGTAGTATTATTAATTATAATAATTTAAAAAATAACAAAAATAAATTGTTTGATTAGTTGCTCGATGGATCCATATGCATGCAAACAATTTTCATAAGCTCATAAATTATCAAAAAATATTTCAAATAATAATAAATAGTAGTAGTAATAATTATTAAAATAACAAAAATAAATTACTTAGTTGCAAGATATATGATAATTCACTTTTAGAATCCCTGTGAATTAACAATAAGAATAAGAATAATAACTAATAATAGTAGTAGTAGTACTATAGTAGTAATTATAATAAAGTTTTAAAATAATTACAAAAATAAATTGTTTGATTAGTTGGTTGATGGATCCATATACCTATAAACAATTTTTGCAAGCTCATAAATTATCAAAAAAACTAATAAGAATAATAAGAATAACAATAATAATAACTATTAAAATTGTCTTTAAAATAATAACAAAAATAAATTACTTGATTAGTTGGTTGATGGATCTATATACCTACAAACAGTTTATAGAAGCTCATAAATGATAAAAAAATATATATATATAGTTCAAATAATAATAATAATAATAGTGGTGGTGGTGGCGGTGGTGGTAGTAGTAGTAATAATAATAATTTACAACAATAGCAAAAATAAATTGCAAAAGTGAAAAAAAAAAAAAAAAACCTATCAAGAAAATAAAAAATAACCCCCTGAACTATATGCAAATAGGGGAATAATTGTCATTCAAAAGGATAATTTGGGCATTACTTTGAAATACACAGGCGCGTGAATCAGCAGACGTCGATAAATGTGATCCGGTGATTAGAAGGGACTTGTTTGCAACCTTTTATATAGTTGAGGGTTTAATTTGCAATCCGAAATAGTCCAGAAAGTTATTTTTCACTTTTTTTGATAGTTGGAAGGATTTTTTTTTTTTTTTTTCGCAGTTTTGACATAATTTAAAATTAAGTTACCTCTCTATTGGTTGAAATTTATTTATTTTTTTATTATATATATATTTTATCCTGTCAATAAAAAACAGCCATATGACATCTACAAAGCGCACCAAAAATGGCCGTACAGCAACAAACAAATCATGAAGCAAGCGGATAAAACTAAAGAACAGACTCTAGATTTGCTGAGAAAACAACGCACCAGCAGAAACCACCAAGGAAGGAAAGTATCAACGGTAGTGACCCACAGGTCAGGCCATGGTCAAGGCAACTGCTCTAAAGCTGCATCCACAAGGCGCCGCCGAAGAAAAAGAAACCCCCCAACCCCGCACAAGAGGGCAGGGACAACAAAACCCACACAGAGGCGGGAACCTGACATAGATCGGAGATCTAGCCGGAAAATCAAAAGCAGATCTACCCCGTCAAGCCAGAAACTAGCCTAACAGGAGCCGATTTAACAAAACAATAACGAAACGGCATAAAAAACTCACCCACCAATCGACTATGTACAACACGAGTTTATTAAGAAGGGGAAATGAATCTATTGGTTGAGATTTGATGCCCCAATAAGATTAACAACAATTTACATATGTCCGTCTTAAAAGGGTAGGGACACCCCTGACCACAATAAGACTCACCACAATTTACATACGTTCCAAGGATTGTCTTATCCTCAAGGGAGGAAAGTTCCAGCATCTTCTTTCTATGTTCCCCAAGTAGACAGTATAGAACAAAGAAGGAAATTGCTTGGATAATGCTTACCAATTGTTACATATATAATAATGGGAGAGAGAGACTTTGAAGTACACAATTTCTCCTATATGTAATTCATGAATAATTCAAGCTTTCATGTTATTCAAATCATGGTCATCTGACCATTGAGCTTGACGGTTTTGTGCATTTGTTGTAGAATTCAATTCTAAATTTTTGTTATTAGTTTTTAAATTTTATTGTTTTGATTTGTCATATTGGTATAACTTTGGATAGTCGTAAATGGTAATATATAAAAATATTATTTTACTGACAACATGACCACTTGCGCATTTTGGCAGTGCAGACGCACTCTCATCCACACTTTCCAACAACACCAATACAGGTCCACACAAAAGATGATTTCCATGTGAAATTGGACAATGCTTTTGGAAGACGTGAATTTTGATTCTCAATAGAGGGGTGTTTGCTTTAATCAATCAATTTTTTGTGTGTTTTTATTTTCTTACTTTTAAAAAAATGCAAAGAATTTTGAAATTTTTTGTTCCATTATCCTTCTTACTCAACTTTTTAGGTCCTAAAATATTTATGAGTTTGTGAAAACGTATGTTATGTTAGATATTGTAAAATATATTGTTTCCCTGAATGGGTTTATTATATATGGTTTATATTTACTTATTCTCCACACATGTCGTCTTATACATAAACTCCTGTATGTATTCTTATAGTAAACACATCAATACATTTCATCTCTTTCTTTTTTATATTTAACATATTCAATTGCCTGCTTTAATTCAAGACTTTTGTGTTGTAATTCTTTGAATATGGTCTCAATTATTAGATTGTCATTGTATATCCACATTGAATCTCTTGAGTCTTACTTTTCTCTTTTGTACGCGCTTGTTTATTGATATAATTATGTATTTCAATAGATTGTCATGTAATTCATTGTCAATTTGATTTTTTTGAAGCATATGCCTATGCGTGGTTCTTAGATTTTCAAAATTTTGTATGAAGGGCATCTTATTTAAAGTTTATCACTCAAAATTTTGAAAGTCTAGTGCCTGTCCATAAATTACACCATAAAATTATTATGGAGTGACCATTACGAAGTCTTTCTTCAGTGCCTAATTTGACCCAGCTATGCCTTCCACACGGTCTGTCATTACTCATAAGTTGTTGTATAGTTAGGCTTCTATTCTAACCTTGATCAACATTTTTTTTTTTATTAGTTTTTTAATTTTATTATTTTGATTGGTCATATTGGTATAACTCTTGGATGGTCTTTAAATAGTAACATATAAGCACATTATTTTACTCTTGGATGGTCTTTAAATAGTAACATAAGCACATTATTGTTTTAATTTTCCTACTCTTTAAAAAATACAAAGAATTTTGAAAATTTTATGTTTCATTATCCTTCTTACTCAATTGTCTGCTTTATTTTCCTACTTTTTAAAAAATACAAAGAATTTTTGAATTTTTTTTAATTTTATGAGTTTGTGAAAATGTGTGTTCAATTGCCTGTTTTAATTCAAGTCTTGTTTTAATTCAAGTCTTATGTGTTGTAATTATCCGTATATGGTCTCAATTATTAGATTACATTGAATCTCTTGAGTCTTACTTTTCTCTTTTGTAGGTGCTTATTTATTAATTTAATATTTCAATAGATTGTCATGTAATTCTTTGTCAATTTGATTTGTTTGAAGCATATGTCTGCCTGAGAATCTCAAAATTTTGTATGAAGTGCCTCTCATTTAAAAACTCGCCTAGTATCACTCAAAATTTTGAAAGTCTCAGACAGAGTGACCACTAGGAAGTCTTTCTTCAGCAGCCTAATTTGACCCACCCACACCTTCCACATGGTCTGTTTATATATTAATTGATCTTTGTATGCATATATTGTCATTACTAGTAATTTGTTGTATATTTAGATTTAGATTTATTAGGTTGCTATATAATTTAAAATAAAGATACCTCTCTCTTGGTTGAGATTTGATGCCCAATTTACATGTGTCCAAGGATTGTCTTTGTCTTTGTCCCTAACCTCAAGGGAGGATAGTTCCCAGCAACTTCTTGGATGATGCTTAGCACAATTTCTCCTATATATAATTCAAGTCTCACGACAATTTATATAATTTTAATTTAATTTAATAATAATATTAGGATCTAGTTTTGGATAAGTTACACTCTATAAAAATATTAGGAAGTCTTTGTTCAGCCACCTAATTTATGTTAATTGATCTTTATTTGCATATATTGTAAGTTGTTGATTCAGATTTTCACCTAATTTAAGGGAGGAAAGTTCCCAGCTACTTCTTTGTATGTTCCCAAGTAGAGCATAGAACAAGGAAGGAAATTGCTTGATGATGCTTACCAATTGTTACATATATAATAAATTAAGGGGGACAGAGACTTTGAAGTACACAATTTCTCCAATATATAATTCATGAATAATTCAAGCTTTCATTTTATTAATCACGGTCATCTACATGTTTTAAAATCTTTCTTCAGCAGTCTAATTTGACCCACCTACACCTTTTTCACACACTGTTTTGTTCAACATACATGTCCATGACCCAGAAAAAAGATTGAAGAAATTCCCTGCAACTTCTTATCATGTGCATTCTCTCTGTAAATATTATAGAGGGGGAGAGATATTTGTAGGTATCATAATCACACCGATAAATTTTGCATTCACAAATTAGCAAGCCTCAATGGATGCGATTGCTGCTGCTGCTTCTTCTTCGCCTCGATGGAATTATGATGTCTTCTTGAGTTTTAGAGGTGAAGATACCCGCAAGAACTTTGTGGACCATCTCTATGTGGCACTGCAACAGAAAGGAATTTGCACCTTCAAAGATGATGAGAAACTTAAGAGAGGAAAATCAATTTCTTTGGAGCTCCTCAAGGCAATTAAGGAATCGAAATTTGCAATCATCATTTTTTCGAAAAACTACGCATCGTCCACTTGGTGTTTGGATGAACTCGTACAGATCATTGAATGCAGGAATAAAGTGGGACAAACAATTTTGCCAATTTTCTATGACGTCGATCCCTCGCAAGTACGGAAACAAAAGGGAAGTTTTGCAGCAGCATTTGCCAAACATGAGGAAAATTTTGGAGAGGAGGACAAGGAAAAGGTGCAAAAGTGGAGGGCAGCTTTGGTAGAGGCGGCAAATTTAAGCGGGTGGGATTTGAACGATGTAGCAAATGGGTAATAACTAACCCAACAAATTTTATTCTTCTTCTATATTGCCGTATGAAATATGTTTACTAGTTTAACTAAACGACTTTGCAATACTTAATTAGAAGCAAACATGAAGCACAATTTATATTTTCAATTAGCATTTCTTTTTAAATCTTTAAATAAATATATAGGTTACTTTTGGATTTGTTATTCGCACTGAATAGCGTATCTCCTTATTTTTCCATTTTTTTTCTTTTTATGCCAAATTAGAATCAAACTAATATAATTAAAGTTGAATATTTATTATTTAGAGTTATTATTAAGTTTTTGACGTTCTTACCAAAAAGGGGGGAAAAAAATTATGATTTCAAGTTTAATTGATAGATGGATTAAAACTTCATATTGCCATTCTAATTAAGTTTTACATTCTTTCTTTTTTTTTTCTTTTTTTTTTTATGACTAATTTGGTCCGTAGAACAACTAAAGACTTTATTAAAGTGGTATGTGCTGCTGTTTTCAAATGTAAGTCCATAAATAATAGACATGTTTGAACATGACTTTTTTTTTTTTTTTTTTTTCCTAGTTGTGTTTGAACTTGATTTGTCAAACAAAAACCAAAAGAAAAAATACATATTAATGATCCATAATTAAAATAACTTTTATTTATTTGTGTATTCTAAATACGAATCTTCTATCAATTGTATTGTAGTTTGAAGTGGATTTTAGAGGGTTGGACTGAAAATTAATACCTCCCAAACTCCTAGAACTCAAATTTTTTTTTTTTTTTTAATCTTTTTGTCCTTTATCTCATTAAAGTATAAATGATTACATTTGCGAATTTGGGTAATGAAAGTTCATTTTGATTTTGGATTGAACAGTTTATACACACACACACACACACATATATATACACATATATAGATGTATTGTTGAACCATCACAAGAAATAAACACAAGCAGGCTTGCTTACTAGAACCACTTGTGCATCCCCATGACCTTGAGTTGTCAAGTCATGAGTTATCCACATTTTAAAGATGCATTAGTCTATTTCAATCAATTTTGTTTACGAATTGAGTAATTTATGATTATTATTATTATTTACCCATAAATAAAAATGTGTGTGTTATTTATGACTCACTAGTTCTTTTTAATGTGCTTTGTACTTCATAGGCATGAGGCGAAATTTATCCAAAAAATTGTTCAAGAGATTATAAAAAAATTGGAACATATACCATTATATGTTGCCAAGTATGAAGTGGGGATAGATTCTCGTGTCAACGAAGTGATTGCTTTGCTAAATAATGGGTCAAAGGATGTGTGCACTGTGGGAATTTGTGGAACTGGGGGAATAGGAAAGACAACCATAGCCAAAGTTGTCTTCAATCAAATATTTCATCAATTTGAAAGTTGTTGTTTCCTTAGTGATGTGAAAGGAGTTTCAGAACAACAGAATGGTCTAACGGATCTGCAACAACAACTCTTGAAAGACATCCTAATGGAAGATCTAAAGATGTCTAATGTTGACTATGGGATCAATGTGATAAAGAAAAGATTTTGTTACAAGAAGGTCCTCGTAGTTGTTGACAATGTTGATAGTTCGAAGCAATTAGAAAGTTTAGCTGGAGCAAATGATTGGTTTGGTTTTGGAAGTAGGATCATTGTAACAACCAGAAATGAACGTTTATTGGTGGAGCATAAAGTAGATGAAATATACAAGGTTGAGTTGTTGAATGACGATGAAGCTCTTCGACTTTTTAGTTGGCATGCTTTCACTAACAGCCATCCCTTGGAGGATTATTTGGAACTCTCGCGAAGTGTAATAAATTATGCTCAAGGCCTTCCATTAGCTCTTCAAGTTTTGGGTTCTTTTTTATTTAAAAGAAGTTTAAAAGAGTGGGAACATGAATTGGATAATTTGAAAAGAATTCCTAATAAAAAAATTCATAATGTTCTTAAGATAAGTTTTGATGGCCTTGATGATACAGAGAAGGATTTATTCCTTGACATTGCTTGTTTCTTCAAAGGATATGATGAAGACTATGTAATAGATATATTGGGTAGTAATGGGTTTTACCCACGAATTCCAATTCTTATTGAACGGTCATTGATAACTATCTCATCATACAACAAGCTGCACATGCATGACTTGTTACAAGAAATGGGTAAGGAAATTGTTCGTCAAGAATCACCTGATGATCCTGGCAAACGAAGTAGGTTGTGGTTTTATAAAGATATCTATAAAGTGTTCAGAGAGAAAACGGTACGTTCTAACTCCATAGAAGTTTATTTGCAATTTTGATATTCAAGTTTTGAAAAAGAAAAAGAAAAAAAAAAGGTTTAATTGCTGCATCTAATTTTTTCCATCTAAACAGTTGTAAACTTCGATAATTTTAATGTTTTAACACTGCATGGTAACTTACACAATGTTCTTGGTGATCAGGTGACCGAAACAATTAAAGGCATTATGCTAAACTTGCCTGATGAACATGTACCAGAGGAGTTACATGTAGATGCCGATGTCTTTGAGAAGATGAAGAAACTAAAACTGCTTAAACTCAGTGGGATAAGACCTTGTGGACACCTTACATATATTTCAAATGAATTATGTTATCTCGATTGGGATGATTACCCTGCAAAGTTTTTGCCATCTAATTTCCATCCAAAAAATCTTGTTCAACTTCGCCTTTGTCACAACCAAATCAAAGAAATATCATCAAGTATCAAGGTATGATCAGAGTTTATTTATACAGTTATTTACATATGAATAGTATTGTCGGGTTTTATTGAAACTGATTGATTTATTTCATTGTTTGTTTCCTTTTCAGTTTCTAGAGAAGTTAAAATACCTTGACCTCGGTCACTCCTTAAATTTGTATAAAACTCCTAACTTGTCTAGTCTCCCATATTTGGAGAAATTAAATCTTGAAGGGTGTAAAAATCTAATTGAGGTCCACGAGTCGATTGGAGTTCACGAGAGGCTTGTGACATTGGATCTGCGGAACTGTAAAAATCTGAGGAGTCTCACAAAAAGCATCAAGTTGGAAAAGTTGAAATATTTGAATCTATCAGGATGCGTAAAACTTGAGAAGTTTCCAGAGATTGAAGGGCGTATGAATTGTTTGCAGCATCTTGATTTGGATGAAACTGCAATAAAAGATTTGCCTTCATCAATTGAGCATCTTGAAGGGCTTAGGGGTTTATATCTAGGTTATTGCCCAAAGCTTAAAAGTATTCCAACAGACATTTTTTCTAGAATGAAGGATTTAGAATCCCTTAAGATGGCAGGAACCGCTATAGAACAGTTACCATCTTCCATTGTACAGTTGTGTAAACTTAATTGGCTTGGGCTAAGTGATTTACAAAAATGGTCTCCCAAAACGCCAAATTCATTGGTGTCATTTTCATTGGTGCGAAAGAGAACTACTAATTATTTGCAACTGGAACTGCTCTCCGCTTTGAGCACTTTATCTTGTTTACATTTAAGTGGAAGCAATTTCTCTAGCATACCAACAAGCCTCATTCAACTCAAATGTCTGAGACACCTTCGTTTGGAACGTTGCACAAGCCTCCGAACGTTAACTTCACTTCCGTCATCTATTGAACATGTGAATGCACATGGCTGCAAATCATTGGAACGGTATTGGATTCCACCAAGTGGAATTGGTCCAAACAATCGCGGATTCAGATTCACTGAGTGCCGCAAATTGGTTATGGATGAGATGGAAAACATGCCAAATATATCATCACAAACTCAGCTTCAGGTTAATTACTTTTACCTCTCTCTCTTTCTATATATATATATATATATATATATATGTATGTATGTATGTATGTATGTATTCAAAACTTGGGGATCTTTATTGTGCTGTGCATGGAACAGGGAATTCAATGGATCAGTTTTCCGGGAAGTGAGATTCCGCAATGGTTTAGGCATAAGAGTGAAGTTGAGGTGTCTTCTTTGTCTTTGGTGATAGATCATCTTTCTTCTTACAATTACGTCAAAGGAATTGCCATCTGTGCTGTTTTGGAAATTCATGATATCTCATTGATTGGATTTGATCTAAAAATCAATGGTTATGGCGTGAACTGGTTTGAGAACGCCGACAGTTATTATTCTTCCTATTATTGGGGGTGTAAAGGCAATCACGTTATTTTGGGGAACGTAACAGAATATTACGATGAGTTGTCTAAAGAATATCAACCAATTAAAAATTTGATGAAGAAGAGACCAAAGCTCAGCCCAGGCCCTCCCAATATTTGTGATGATGCCAGCTGTTACATTCAGGCTTCAGTTATATCATCCTACTACCCTGGGTCATACTGTCAAGAAATGTTGAAGAAAATGGGTATCCATCTAATTATGGAGGAGCAAGGTGAAGGTGAGTAGACCCACCTCACTCTCTTCAAACTCAATTTCTCAATTCTTAAAATCATACCAACATTTTCACATATCATAATTGATTACTGCATTTGATTGTTGCAATGTAGGTTAACAGTGAGAAATCCTAGCATTAAGAGGCAAAGAAAGGATCATTTGGATAGTTTTGATTGTCATATTTGTATACAAGAAGCTCTTCTGGTTGTAATAACAATTTCAATTGTGAAGGAAAATGTTTTGTTTGTACGTATCAAAATCTTTTTGGCCATATATGGATTATATGTCCTGAAAAATTTTATTTACAATAATCACACCGTGTAATGGTCACATAGCAATACTGATGGGTCACTTGTCATGGTGGTCTTGCCGGGGATCTTGACCAAGGGTGATGTATATCTGGTGGTAATGGCAGCAGCAATGATGATTATAGTGGTGAGGACGAAACAGATGAAGGCAGAGGAAATAGTGTGCTGACAGCAGTGGAGGCAATGGCGGTGCAAGTTCTGGTAAGTGGAGGCAATAATGGTGGTGTAAGTACTGGTGTATGACCTACTCACCCATTCATGAATTCATATTCCCAAATTCCTCTCATTTTTAAGCCACCCTCTTCTTTTCCTTTCTTTTCCGTCAATGCTAGAGTGAAAAAAGGCATGTTCAATGCCCTCGACACCATATAATAGGACTGTAAGGCGCAATTCAAGAGTAAATTAATATCAGGTGCCCCAAACAAACCACATCATTGGTAAGTTCACCCAATAAAATTTGTCGCACTTGTAAGAATTGCTAACAAGTTGATATGATCTTTGGGTGCATTCATACACTCGATACCTTCTCGGGCAGAACTACTCTTCATTACACATTTGAATCTACGTAATACACAATTAACATCAATAAATACATACAAGTTTTGCTCATGGAGTTCATTGAAGATGATCAATACTCAACTTCACACTCAAGAATAATCCCTACTAATCACAACTTTTCACTATAAAGAAAATTTGATTTACTTTTGAATACTAAACAAATTGGAAAATTTTCAAACAGCTGTCCCTCTATTTTTTTTTTTAATCTTTTTAATTTACAAGAAATTCAAAAGGTAAATGAATTTTGGACATGCTAAATCCAGCCCTTCTCAGCTTTGAACTCCTCACCTCAAAATTTGAGGTTACTTGAGATCTGATACCAGCTTAGCCACAGCTCAATGGTCACCCAATTATTGCTGCTCGGGGCATTTAATTTTGCTATGCACATTCGGAGTGATGTTGTCAGTCCGAATGTGCAACGTTTCTTGATGAAAACGCTACTACAAGAAATCAAATTCATTCCAAGATAGCGCAAAATGGCTCTGCACATATTTACATCAAGAAGCTTGCGCAGAAGAGGTATATAGAGAAGAGGATACTTCAGCTAGACAGATTAGTTCTCAGTGATGCATGCCTCCCATCATCAAACATTGATTTCAGTGCTGACATTATCTTTACTGTTTCAAGGACTATGCAAATTCCGCAAGTGGTCCACCACATCACAGGAAGAGCTAAGCCGTGGAAAATCGGACCGGTGAAGGACATTTGCTTGGACACGGCTTGTGTCAGGTTTGTGATCCATACGCATGGTCTTGGCCGAGAAGCTGTGGCGCACATGGACACGGTGATTTCTTGTCTCTGTAGTGCAGTTGCCGCGCACCTTAACCACCAGTATAACTTCCTGATCTCTGTTGTCTTCACACCACCAGTTTTGCGGGATACCATCAACAAACTCCTCTAGGGTTTGGAAGTCCTCGTGATGAACTAGAATCTCCACAATATGACCCGGTTTAGTAATGCCAGAAGCTGGACTGACCTGGTTTAAATGCATGGTGAATAAGCCAACGTTAACAATAGATAGTACATACAACCAAGACTCGAACTCCCATGGTTGCAGCCCTTAAGACAGCATGCAGTCATTTGATTAGGTAGCGAAAAAACAACATAATAGTGTCAGGCCATAATACATGTTAGTCAAAATTTTAAAATATATATATATATATAGAAAAAGATGCAAATATGTAAATGACGACAGCATTTCTTGTCGTACATACAGGGATGGTCGAATCAGATATCAAAATATCAGTTTGGCTCTCATAAGAACATGCTTTTTTCTATAAGAAATTTAGTAGGTAATCATCAAGGGCCAATATTCCCATTGTTATATGTGATGTGGCCCGAATCCTGTTTCGGTCCGGGTTGCAACGACCCGAAATGGACTTTGTGTGAATCCGAAGCCCACCAAAAATTTTATGACCTGTTTTTCGCTTGCAAGTCTTGAACTCTGTTTAGGACACTCTTGTTGCCCAGTATATAAGGGTGTTTGGGGTTTGCAGTGTATAACCAAAGACCAAGGAAAGAGAGAGAAACTTGTAATCTCCTATTTTTTGCACGGTGCAATCTTTCACCGGATCTTCACCGTGGAGTAGGCTTACGCTGAACTATGTAAATCGTTGTGTTTTTTGCGTGTGACGTTTTTTTTTTTCGATCGTGATTCTTGTTTTGTTCTTGATTCGCTACATTTGTTATAACAATATATTAACCGTTAACAAGAATCTACTCTAAGATAAGCTTTAGCGAGGGTGTAACTATAACATTTAAATCCTTCAACATGCCCTCTTACACATGGCCTTCTTTGGTCCAACACATGTTTTCAATTTTAATTTTCAGAGTAACAGTTAGGTTTGAACTCGAGACCTTTAACTCTTGATGAAGAATAATTACTTAAATCACTCCTTGACAGAATGTTAATATTATTATACTTGGGCAACAAGTTGTTGCTATATCTATATTTTAATTTTTGTGTAATTCCTTTATTACAAGTCTTCCTCAATTCACCTATAAATAGATATGGTTATTGGAAACAAAATTAAGAGACAATGTAATAAAAGAGATGTAGCATTCCGTGCTCTTTGTGTCATGCATATAAACCCTAGTGGTTGAACCACATTATATTATGTGTTTTTCATGTTTTAATTTCTCTCTTCAATTTTTATTTCTTTCAACACGATATCAGAGCAGGTTTATCATGCCCTACTATATACTCTACTCGTCTCGAATCTTCAAATCAACTCGTCTTGTATCTCCGGATCAACTCGTCTTGTCTCGAATCATCAAATCAACTTATCTCGGATCTCCAGATCAACTCGTCTTGTCTCGGATCTTCAAATCAATTTATCTCAGATCTCCAGATCAACTCATCTCAGATTTACTCATCTCAGACTCTCCACAACTTCATATTTAATTTCAAGTTGGACACTTGAGTTAAATCTCCGTGTACCAACTTGAGGGGAGGTGTTGGCGAATAATTATAGGAGTGATTTAAGCTCTTATATCACTCCTTAATAGAATGTTAGTGTTGCTATACTTGGGTAACAAGTTGTTGCTATATTTATATTTGACTTTCTGTGTAACTCCTTTATTACAAGTCTTTTCCAATTCACTTATATATAGAGGTGGTTATTATAAACAAAATTAAGAGAGAATGTAATGAAAGAGATATAGCCCTCCGGGCTCTTTGTGTTGTAGATGTAAGCCCTATTAGCTGAACCACGTTATATTCTATGTTCTTCATGTTTTAATTTCTCTCTTCAATTTTTATTTCTTTCAACAACTCTTATACCATGTTAACAACCATCTACTCTAAAAGTTTAAGCTTTAGAGAAGGTGCAACTTTAATACTTAAATCCTTTAATATTAAGCAAAACTTTCTCATTGATAAAGTTGTTATGACGGCAATCAAAAGCTTGAAGAATAATAAGATAATGACAGAGCCAACCGAGGAGCACTCTTAAATTAAGAGAGAGAGAGAGAGAGAGAGATCAACAAACAAAATTGAAAAATTATAGACAAATCCAAGGATAATTGAACATGAAAGTTAATAGTAGAATAAAAGAGCACTACATGTGATGGAGTAAATTACAATTCTACTAAAATATCAATAAAGTACTGACTCATATTTTTTCTTCTTACTTGCTTCTCAATTGTTTTTATTTTTTCAGATTATGATCACTGAACCAATATAAACTAGCTTCTCTTTTTGTTGCTTTAATTTATTTCATTAAGGGTAAGGAAAAACATATCAATAGCTCTAATATTTTTAGACAATAAATATGTTGGTGAATTGCACCATGAGTTGTTTACCTTTCATATTGTCTTTTTCCGTGTTGAAACTTTAGTAGGCTTTACTTAATGAAAATGCTCACGGGTCTTGTAGATCATGCCTAGACGGGCTATTTGTTCATCTATATTCAGCTACTAATATAAGAATTAGTCTAATTATGTTTTTCTTTTATTTAGTCTATTACACATCACATTCAATGAAAGTGCTACCAAAACCTTTTAATACCTCTATCCCTTAGCGATGAACACTGCCTCAAATTGCTACACAAGAAGAACAGAAGTGATATTGAATCCTATAATTAAAACAACTTTGGATGATTTTGCGGCAGATGAATAGTTTAGAGAGAGAGAATCGATGAATCCAGAGAATAGTCTAAAAATAGACAAATAATCAACCTTATCTGCAAGATAAAATCTGAAACAGATGGAACAGATGGAAGAAACAGAAGGAGTGACGTTCAGCTTTTCCCAATGATATATTTGTTGAGAGATAATTGTTGGTATGGAAGAGCTAGCTATTGGCTAGTTCTTGGTACAAGTGCAAGTAGGTAATTTAGAAAGGAATTTAGAATTAATCAATAATTTTTTTTTTTTAATTTTTTGGTAGTGAGTACCCACACACACGTTGTCCACGCCACGGCTTGAACCCTTCCCCTTCTCTCTGAGGGCAAGGAGGTTATACCATTGGGCTAATGACTCATTGGTAGAATTAATCAATTAATTGATTCTATTAGAATTCCTTTCAGAAGTGTTAATGCATTCATGTATTTGGTGAAGCCTATTAGTTCTAGGAAGTCAAATTGACTCATAAAGATAAAACATTCAGTGATGCATTCAGTTTATTTAACACCAAAGCATCTTAATGAAAATTTTAGCCAAATTTGTTAAGTGGAATTGACATAATTTGGATCTTCCGAAAGACTATTATAGGCCACGACCTCTCAATTAACTTTTGTATTCAGAATTCTAACTTACGATCATACAACAATTGAAACTTTTAGGAAGTGCATGATCATTAGTTTACCAAAAATTATGCCAAAAGAAATTTTTGTAAAGCTCAGCAGATAGGGGGAGAACATCTTTAGTTTGATAGACATGATCTATTTAGTACTTAAGATTCGCAGCCGTCTGACCAGTCCAATGTGGACTGAATCAATCAAGTCATTCTCTTAATTTATTTGCCTTCAGTTTTTCCTCCTTCCAAACACACGAGTTTTCAGATCTGTGGAATTCTTCACATCCCTTTTCTGCAATTTCAAGTCAAGGGACTAACTTTTGGTTTCTTGCGGCATGGATTCGATTATTTCT